TATCATGCTGACTGTATTCAACAAAATTGTAAAGTAATGCAATGAAATCTTATAAAGGAGCTGGAGAACATTTATTAGACGTCTAATAAAGCATGTTATTAAATCAATTTAAAACAGTCGAATTAAAGTGTCAATGTATGTACAAATTACACTTATTCAGTTTGTTATTAGATCAAACTTCTGGTTCTGAATAAGGAAGACAGTCAACGTTTATAAAGCTTATAATAAGGAAATTAATCATATCAGAGCAAAAGGCGGAATAAAGACGCATCTCAACGACCTTTTTTCAGTACATAATTCGACATCTTGTTTTATTCAGCATTGTACACTGTTATACAGTATTTATTCAATGTGTATGCTTATTTGTGACTTTGAATTGTTTGTTGGGTACTTAGTATTCTCCTGAAATTTCCATAGGAATTCCTTTTTAGTTCTGCTCCCTAATGCTCCTCATATTTTCCTTGGAACTTGCTTTTCAATTTTCAAAAATTATCACCGGAATATCTTTGGAAGATTCCTTAGGATTTCTTGGAAATTTTCCTCAAATTTTTTTTTTTGAGCTATCCTTGAAATTTCCTTGGAATTTTCCGTGGAATTACCTAAAACTTTTCCTTAACACTCTTTTGGAATACTCCTATGAAGAATTATTTTCAGTATTATTGTTCTTTAAAATGTAGACTTCAAATTGAATGAGTCATTTTTGAGTTAATTTGCATGTAAAAAATATGTATAAATCTTGATAGAGCTGGAATAAGAGCGTAACAGCTTTTGTAAACAATGACTTCTTGCGACTATTTCTTAAAAGTCAAGGTTTTTAACGCAAATCAATATCACCATCGGGTAGAAGAAGAGTTCCCCTACCCGACGGTAAAATTGCTTTGCGTGGGCATTAGACTGATGCAAAATTTGAAATTTTCGCTCCACAATACTTGAACGATTCCAAATCTGATCCTGACTAAGCTCTCAAAATTTGAACCCATTTGGTGAGAAACTGAGATGGCACAAACCATGAAGTTTGTATGGGAATTACTATGGTAAAACCAAGATTTTTGTTCATGTCTATCTGATAATTCACCATATCGGTCTGCTTCAAAAACTTTCAACTGTACTTATAGGAAATTTTCCCAGCTACAAATTTGCTGAAGACTGTTTTTTTTTTATTAAATGCAAGGATCGTTATCAATTGTTCAATGCGCTGGTGTCTTATGATCATGCTCAATCAACTGCTCAGCAGGCAACATTGGTTTTTCTGGGGCGTTGAATAGGACACAAAAATCATGGCTACTATGTCACACTGCAAAATACAGTGTTGCCTACAGAGCAGCTGCTTGATCATGTCATAAGTTTACCAATCTCTTAAATAATTAATAACTTTTTTCTGTCTCGTTTTATATAGAAACGATTTTGAGCAAAGTTGTAGCGGAGAAAATTTTCTGTAAGAATTGCTATCGAACTGTTTCGCAGCTCAATATGGAAAAAGACTAGAAGGCAATGAACAAAAAGTTGAGTTTCCCCATAGTAATTTACATGTAAACTTCAAATGGTTTGTGCGAAGTCTGTTTCTAACCAAATGAGTTGTAACTTTGGGAGGCTAATCAGGACCCGATTTGAAACCATTTAAGCACTGTGGAGCGAAAAAGTCGAATTATGCATCAGTCTAGTGGGCATCCCTTGAATTCCTAGAAATCATCGAGAGAAGGCATTTTTTACAAAAGCTGTAAGGCCCTAATTCCAGCTCTACCTAGAAATGTTTTAAAATAATGTTTCAGAATAGTTGCGAGCAGGCAAAAAGCTAATTTGCTATAAGCAATAAGCTTGAAAAGCCATGTAGTAGTATACAGCAAAACAAAATAATTTTAATACCACATCCAAGTGGATGCACTTCAATCGTGTCGGAAATATGGTGTAATTTTACTTTACAAAAAGGACAAAATTATTTAATACGGCGCATGAACTGACATTACGCTGCTTTTACTGCATTTGTTTATTTTTGTGGCATAAAAATTACATGAGATTTTTGACATGATTGAAGTGCATCCTCTTGGATGTAATATAAAAATTATTTTTTTTTGCTGTGTAGGGTTGGTGGTACACTAAATACAAATGGTATTTTAAGGCAATGAAAACAATTTTTCATTTGTTGCTGATTAGTTTTTTTGTCGCGGATTAGTTTTTGAAGTTCTTTTGAGAAATCGCTGATTTCACGGATCATTTAAAATAAAGCTTGCTACAGATAGAATTGGAACAAAACAATTGCCTGTATTTCAGTTATTTATTATTGAATTCAAGATCTTTTCTTATACAAATGTAGCGTTTTCTTCATACTTTTAAGAAAAAATACGGATAAAATTATTCGTCACGGTTTCGAAGGAATTCTCGAATTTTTCCTGTAACACGGCTCATTAGGCGGCGCACACCTTCTTCGTCCATCGTTTTAGCTATCTTATTCCACCAGGTCTTCATCTGATTGATGTCTTTGACAACCTTTCCCTTTGCCTTGAGTCTCCTCTTCATGATTGCCCAGTATTTCTCAATAGGGTGGAACTGGGGGCAGTTGGGTGGGTTAAGGTTTTTCGGAACAAACTGGACCCCTTTCTCTGCATACCATTCTTGAACGACTTTGCTGTAATGACAGCTTGCCAAATCTGGCCAAAACATTACGGGATGGTCGTGGGATCGAATGAACGGCAAAATTCGTTTTTGGAGACACTCTTTTTGGTATAGTTCCCCGAGCCGTTGCCAAGTAAAATTTTGACCTGGGATTTGCCCGAAGTCAGCCTTGACATAGGTTTCATCGTCCATCAGAAGACACCCGTCGAACTTGGTCAGCACCTGGTCGTATAGCTTCCGCGCACGGATTTTGGCCACACTATTCTGTTTTATGGTCCGATTTGGCTGTTTGCTAGCTCGATACGACTTGATTCCTTCCCGGAGTCGAGTTCTCCTCACGGTACTATGGGCAGCACCGAAATTTCTGGCCAAATCACGGTCCGACAGATTGGGATTCCTCTTAATCGTCTTCAAAATCTTACCACGCAGTTTCCGGTCGACGTTCCACTCCGACGATTGGCTTGAGGCTTCCGAATCGTCGTCAATGTTTCCTTATACCGATTGATAACGCGCCATACGGTATTTCTGGGCAATTTCAGCTGTTTAGCTAGCCTAGATGCAGACCACAATGGATTTTCCAAATAACTGTGCACAATTTTTTCCCTTCTTTCGGCTTCCATGTTGATTGTTTACAAAGTACAGTCGATTTGCGGAATGTCAAAAATACATACGTGAAGCTGACAAAATTCCCGACACGTGGGTGCCAAGAACTTCTTAATCCGTCCACCAGGAGCACCACAATATAAGCAAAAGTTTGTTCCAATTCTAAATGAAGCAAGCTTTACTGTAACAGCCCTAAAATTCATAAAGCATATAATGTGGATGCTTTTATCAAAGGATAGAGTCATCTTTTTAAGGGTTTTAAGGTCTCATATATGTACCATAAAAACACTTTATGTGGCTTACGAAAGATCAAGTCACGAATATTCCTGTGTAATTAGGGCTCTATACCAAGAAACATTGGTCATATAGAATCAGTTCAGGAACAAGTTTTGTTATTCGCTCTTAGAAAACTAGACTGGACTTCATTTCCCCTTGCTTCCTTTGAGTCATGTTGCAGGTTAATTAACATTGAAACACTGAAGAAAAGAAGAGAAGTTACCATGATCCTTTTTGTGATCATGATGTAATCCCACAACGTATAAATTGAGAAAACTTACTAGCATGTTTGAATGTTCATGTACCATCACGCATTTTAAGAATAAGGAATTTAATTCAAGTTTTGTCTCAAAGAACAGCGTATGCAAAAATAGACCAATCAACAGAATGATTAATGTCTATAATGAAAACTGCGAGGTTAATTATGCCTCAAAGCAACATTTAAAAAAATAACTGCTACAATTTGATCTCGTAGAGGTCAAGACAAATTTATGCAAATGTAAATATATTTCATATATCCACACTGATTGAAGACATAAATAAATAAATATACATATAGTATGGGAAAAGTGAGCTTTCTGCCCTCATCGGTCTTGCCCTTTGCCATAATGATTTGCGGGTGAACTTGCTATCTGTACTGAAAAGAAAACTACAGCTTTGCTCAAGACCACGTTTTGATTGAACGTCCAGAAGATTAGTTATTCATTTATTTCGAAGGCGATAACTATATGATCTGATTAATCGGCTGCTTTCAAGGCAACACTGCATCTTGCATTATAGGACCGTGCACTTAATACGTATGAATTTTCTTGGGAACTGTTTAACCCACCTCCGCCTTAGTAAGATCTTACTCGCTTAAAATCATACTCACGTCATAAGTACATGGCCCCTATGACATTTGGACTACCGTGTAAGCAAAAACTGTTTGAAATATAAATAGGATAGGTCTACCAGCTATGGCTATACATTTTTATTATGGTTTTTTTTTTACAATTATGGCCTATGGAAATCCCATAGGCCATAATTGGAATACACCATGATTGGATCGTATAACCATAACTGGTACATTTACCCTATTGATACTTTACAGATATCTCAACTATAACTAAATTTTCCCTATAAGTTTGCGGCATGGTTTGCACTATTTGATTTCCCCTTTTATTTATGATTGAAACCTTTGACCAATGGTCAATCCATTTCAATCACACCTTCAGAGCCATGTTCCCCAAAAAATCATCACGTTTCTAATCACATCAGAACGTGAAGCTCTACCTCCTACCCCATACCAACGAACTGCTGCCCAGTTAAACATAACCATTACGATCCCGAAACATCACAAACAACACGTGCCTTCTGATTGTGCTGCTGATACCGGACCCAATAAACTGTAAACTGTAAACAGGAACAAAGCTGCCACTGTGCCAAACTTTGTCTTGTTATACTACACTCCACTCGCGCTATGGTTCTTCCCACCACCCACCCACACCGAACTCCGTTGTTCTACTTTTCAGAGTCGTGTGTATCAAAACATCGCCAAGACTGTTCTGCTACTACGAAATATACAGAAGAATAATAAAGAATACCAGAGTGTTAAGTGTGTTATTTACATGTGACGAGACAACTCACTGCGTGTTTGTTAATAGCCTCTCATCGTCTGTGAGCAGCTACCTACCGCCATCATCATCATCGTCATCTTCGTGCGAGATTTGGTGTCAGTGTTGGTTGGTTCGTTAGTGAGTGGTTGATATTGGTTGCAAGTTGGTCGATGCCTACTACACCACTCGGCGTGCACATGTCTGCGGGAAGGTGAACGTAAAGTGAAAGACTCGCAGTTTGCGAATGTGAAGAAGAAGAAGAAGAAGAAGAAGAGGAGACAAAACAGCGATCATATGATTTCGTTCGCTTCGCGCTGTTGCTGTTTCGGTTGCGAATGATGACGATGATGGTTGTGTGATAGTGGACGATGGTAATGGTTCCAATGACCATGGTACCAATGGTGATGATGATCATAAGCAAGAAGAAGCAATTGGTGAAAACGGTGTATTGAAAAGCTCGGTGAGTCACCGAAGAAGGTGTTCGGAGAAAAGCGTGTTGGGATTAAGTCAAAGTACAACGAGATATCGATTTGGCCAAATCAGGCTCAGCTGCTTGTCCGCAAGGAAGAATAATAGTGAAACGAGGGGTGATCCCTTTAGAAAGCAACGAGATCGTGACCAGGCGCACGCTCATTGGAGAATTTGCCGTGAGTGTTGTGAGAGAGTTTGTATGAAAGACAGTCGTCGTTGGCCAAACTGGCGACGAAGGCAGCCGGCTCGAACCAGAGCTATTGCAGGTGCTGCTGGTGGTGGCGGAGGTGGCAGGGAAATAGCAGTAGTTGCACTATCGCCGTAAAGCGCCGATCTGGAACACCACCAGAGGCCGCCAGAGGAAGAGACAGGCAGCCAGAGGAAGAGACAGGCAGCGTACACAGCGGGTAGCTTATTGCCGCCTGTTACTCGGCTCGGGTGCGGATTGATCCCATAACGTGTGCACACGAAGAAAGAAAGAAATTCAGGTATGTACATTGACCTTGTTTTATTCCTACACACCACACCACACCACCGTATAGCACTAGCAGCACAAGGGGATCGTACGTACGTCGGCGGCGGCTCATTTGCGCAAAACCGATCCCCAAATGATTCAGTGGCATTCGGTGTACTTGATCTACTACGGATAGAGAAAAAGAATGTCTTGAATGCGTTCAGGTCGATCATTGAGAGATGGGTTTTCGACAGAGATGACGTGTTATTTTGCTTTCAGTCGGAACGGACGGACATGGCTGTCACTATTCAAAATATAAATCGTCGAAAATTTTCACCAATCCACCGCTAGAGAAACATAAAGGCCTTTGATAATAAAGTACAATTAGGCTCTGCAGCGTGACATTACGAATGAACTGAGCGTTCATCGGATGAACTGTTTGATAGTTCAGTGGTACTGTTTACCAGCACTTAAATTTTTTTCGAAAAAAAAAAGATATTTTACACGCTCATAATTATAATTTTGAAAATGCCGAAGACATGCGCGGTTAAAGGATGTTGCTCGCGGATATTGCAGAAGCGTAGTTTACATCTCACTGCAAAATTATCAAAAAAAAATCAACTAATTCCACGTAAACAGTACCACTGAACCTTATTCAGTGATATGATTTGGGTTTTGTACATTTTCAACCGATAAAACGGAAAAAAATGGGAAATTTTGAGTTGTGCCAGTATTGCATAAAATCGACGATGTGATTCTTTAATTTACAGCTCCTTCTAAACTTAAACTTCACCAATTTTCATCAGGGGGTAAACAAAGTCCTTGATGACAATGATGATGATATGGAAGTACTACCCATTGTAGCAAGACACCTGTCAGTAGCTGTGAGCTGTCCTTGCTGTTCAACTTGATCATATAATAACCTCTAATTGTACTCAATCTGCCATTGTATGAAGGCCCAAACTGGGTAGACAGGGGGCAACATCGCCCACGTGCATCTACAGGATGATTGAGTATATCCTTTCAACAGCAGAAACGCCAAAACAAGCCATCCAACAGGAGAACGTTCATAAAGTGTTCATTTTAGCAGATTGGTAGAATTTTTTTCAATCGATTGGCATGTTTATAATTAAAAACTATCCGCTATTGATAGAGTTGAAAGTGATGAAAACCTGACCACTTTTCGTAACGTTTTTTTTAATTGCACCCTCAATATGTTGCCGAAAGATGTAATCTTACGTCAAAATTCGTTACCATCACCCACTATCCCTCCCCTCTGGTATCATACCGAGGATGATTTTTATGTAAAATGCAGTTCAATCGAATGTCTTTCCGATTTGTGTTACATTGGGGCGAATGGAATTCTTAGCGTATCAACATAAAAGAAAAACATAAAGTGGAGAGCAGGCACAAAGTTGCAGTGGATGAAATACAAACCACAAAATATCGCCTTTCTGAAACATAATGCGTCATTGATTCAACTACGAACCCCAAGCGACAGTCAGTGGAAATCACAGTGATTACGATAATGTTGCCGAAGACGATGACGGCGCAGCGTTGACGAAGATCGTAATAAAACTGCCAGCAACTGAATAAGGCATGTTTTCTAAACCTCTACCGCCAATCACACTTTCGTCATCATCATCATCATAACCAGGCATCCCCACTATCGTATCGTCATAGCAGCGGGCTGTAGAAAACAAAATAGGTTGGCATAAGTTAACCGTCATCGTGTTGGAAATCGTGATCGCCGTGAATTTCACCGCCCACATTAATATGATAATTCACCCACAATCGGCCACAGCCACAACAAAGCAATGCTATAGGAACCTTGATGCATTTGAAATGTAACGGATTGCATAGAGGTAAAGAAAAATATTGTAGGTAAAGGTAGGTATATGAAAATGATTTTGCTTTCGTAGTGCTGGTCTAGGCTCAGCTCAGCCGACCATTTCGAACCGAAAACGCTTAGGAAACAAAGAGAAAGGTGCTCTCAAAACAAGCGACAAAACAAAACACCGGAAAAAAAGAGGAAGACTTTTACAGCTGATTCAAAAAACCGGATTGATGCTTAGCTTCGGTCCCAATTCCGGTTCGGTTGTATTGGTGTACCACCACAGACACCGGTGGTTTGAATAGGTTAGCAGTAAATGATGACTCAATTTAAAGCTGTTCTAAGTGTAGGGGAACTGAGTGTAATACGCACCAGCGGGGTAATATGACATTCAGCCTTTTTTTCAAATAGGGGAGCTTGGTGTAATACGTGAGCAAAGGCATATGTTTTCGTACTTTTCAAAGACCATACTTTAAGGGTGAAACCACAGAACAGAAGTGGAACTTCGTATCCAAAAGTGGCTCCTTATTATTTTCGTGAACACTAGTGCACCTAGCGGCATCAGGCAAGCTTTGCCTGTAGTTTATATGGGCAACATGCTTTGATGGTGTACATAGAAAACCCGTGTGAAAACCACAAGCATCGCTTGGTGAACATAAAGGTGTATCCAGATCTGAGCGTGTATTAGCGGAGCGGAGCAAATTTTGCGTTGGAATGAGACAGACAACCAGGCATGGAACATCATTTGCATTCATTTCGTGCATTCATTTACATTCATTTGCCCCTAACTTTTTTCATCAACAGAATTCCGCAAAATAATGTATGGAGCTTTTGTAGGTTTTGTTATTAACTACAACTTTTGTCGGAAACTCATATCCGTATCTCTTATGGATGATGAACCAGAGTGAACAGAAGCCATGTATGTATTTTACATTCACTGAAAAACAGTAACAAGTTCTGCCCGCTCTAATTCGTGATGCATAAAAGATACAGATTTAAGTTATGGGCAAAAGTTGTAGCTAATAACAAACCCTACTAAAGCTCTATACATCATTTTGTGGAATGCTGTTGATGAAAAAAGTTAGAGGCAAATGAATGTAAATGAATGCATGAAATGAATGTAAATGATTTTCCATGCCTGGCGACAACTATTACTTCTCTCCCTCTCGTACCTCAGCAAAATCTTGCCCCGTGCGTGAAATATCGCTCAGGACCAGCCATACCAAAAGTACCGCCTCATGACAGTATTCCAACGACTGTCGCTTTCTTTTTCCTACGACCCTAATAAAAATAACCATAAAAGAGAGCTTAACGACGTGTTCGGGGTATCATCCAAACCATATGTGGGATAGTTTACCCATCCGGGATATAGTTCGTTTGTGGTATTTGTTTATTAGGGGCAGCGTTGCCAGATATACCGATTTATCGGTATTTATACCGATTTCCGAACTAGATACCGATATACAGATAAGGTTCCTCAGAATACCGATTTTTGAGGTTTTATACCGATTTATACCGATTTTATTAAATAAAAACAAATTATAAATAAATAAATAAATAAATATTATGAGCCATTAAAATTAAAAAAAAAAAAACATCTTAAAAATGTCTTATGGATACTCTTTCGATTAATGTTTCAATTTCCTCACCGTTTTTGGCTACCCATGAATCGAAACGACTCTTTCTTGTTATTTCGGGGAAATCGGGAAATACTTTTTAAACATTATTTAACTTCCTGGATTTTCTTCCACCTTACATCGTAAATTATTTTACGATTCCTCTCGGAAACTTATTTCGACTTCCCTTGGAAGTTTCTTCAACCTTCGCTCGAATGATTTTTCCATCTTTTCCCGCCAGTTTTTTCAAATTTCCCGGAACTTCAGGGATGCTTCCAAAATTTGATTGCAAATCCACACTTGCTGCAGGAACTTTTACGAAGTTCTGAATCTTCAGAAAAGTCCAGATTTTTGAGTAAGTTTCGAAATTTTAGAATGTTTCAATAGCTTCTGTTAAAATTCTAAAACCCGGTCCAGCGAACTCCAGTGAACTTAAGGAAACATCATTAATATTTTGGATACTTCACAAGTTCAAAGAACTTTTGGAAAATTTAATGGTTTTCAGGGCGGTTCCATTAGTTTCAGGAGAATTGAGAGAACTTTTGGAAGCTCCGAGAACACCAATTAATACCGATACCGATAGCTCCGAGAACACCAATTAATACCGATTTTTTAAAACCTTTGATACCGATAAGTTTTAAAACATTATGGCAACGCTGATTAGGGGAGTCAGAACGGAATTCACCTTAAATGTTCTTCCACTTTTTGGTACACACTTCGTTCACACTTCTACTTCTGTTCTGTGGATACTTCAAAAGTAGTGATGTCCAATTACTATTCGAATAATCGAACTAATCGATTATCTGTTAAAATAATCAATTAATTTTTAATCGATTATTCAATGTCTCGATTATCTGATAACCGTTTAATTGGCTTCGATTATTGCACAAAAATTTAAATTTTCATTGGAAGCAGGAGTTAAATTTATTTTAGTGTACATCGAGATTTTCACCCCTGGTTGTATTGGTGCGCTGTGTGAAAATGTGGTAGTGAAAATCCGAGGAAAATACATAACAAACCGCTGTCAAACTCATTTTGATAGTTCGAATTACAAACATTTTGAGGTTACCCGAGGAAAATAATAAATAACTTTACACTAATCTCTATAGACCACCAAGCCAACAGAGCATCGATTAAACTATGTTCCATCCCAACTTGATGTTCAGAACGTATGTTCTCCAAAGCAGGTCAGACAATAACAAAGCTGAGAAACCGTTTATTTGGGCCTCATCTCAACATGATACTATTCCTGTTGGAGAAGATGTTTGGTTCGAGAAAGTGTTTTTTTTTCTTCAGGCAATGAGATTGCAGTCTAAAGTCAACATCAATTCGTCATGAAGATGCAAGTTGTCTCTCTTACTGTACTTCTAATGAAAATGTTAATAAGCGTTCAAGAGTAAAAGAGTATTTTATTGAATTGTTATTTCTCGAAAACAAAATTTACCACGGATATACATCTAGTTAAAACACTTTCTTAAAGACGTTGGCTTTCTTTGTTGTCAGAGAATCTTAAAATTAACCGATGATTTCGATTAATCGATGTCGATTACTATCAATAAAAAAAAAAGAAATCGATTAGTAAAT